AAAAGGAAGATCCAACAATTTGTTGCTTACAGGAGACCCATCTCACGACAGAAATAAGCATAGGCTTAGGATGAAAGGCTGGAAGAAGATTTACCAAGCCAATGGCCCCGAAAACAGGCAGGAGTAGCAATACTTATCTCTGACAAAGTAGACTTCAAACCTACATTGATCAAACGAGATAAAGAAGGACATTCCATACTAATAAAAGGGGAAATAGACCAAAAGGAAATAATAATTATCAACCTGTATGCACCCAATGTCAACGCACCCAATTTCATCAAACATACCCTGAAAGACCTAAAAGCATATATAACGCCAACACAGTGGTTGTGGGAGACTTTAACACCCCATTATCATCAATAGATAGGTCATCCAAACAAAAAATCAATAAAGAAATCCAAGATCTAAAATATGCAATAGATCAAATGGACCTAGTTGATGTCTACAGAACATTTCATCCAACTTCTACACAATATACATTCTTCTCAGCAGCCCATGGAACCTTCTCCAAAATAGATCATATCCTAGGGCACAAAGCAAGCCTCAGCAAATATAAGAAAATAGAAATTATACCGTGCATACTATCTGATCACAATGCAGTAAAACTAGAACTCAACAACAAAAGTAAAGACAAAAAACATGCAAACAGCTGGAAACTAAATAACTCATTACTTAATGAAGAATGGATCATCGATGAAATAAAAGAGGAAATTAAAAAGTTCCTGGAAGTCAATGAAAATGAAAACACAACCTACCGGAACCTATGGGACACAGCTAAGGCAGTCCTGAGAGGAAAGTTTATAGCCATGAGTGCATATATTAAAAAGACTGAAAGATCCCAAATCAATGACCTAATGATACATCTCAAACTCCTAGAAAAACAAGAACAAGCAAATCCCAAAACAAATAGAAGGAGAGAAATAATAAAAATAAGAGCTGAAATCAAGAAATAGAAACCAAAAAAACCATACAAAGAATTAATGAAACAAAAAGTTGGTTCTTTGAAAAAATAAACAAGATCGATAGACCCCTGGCAAACCTGACTAAAATGAGGAGAGAAAAAACCCAAATTAGTAGAATCAGGAATGCAAAAGGGGAGATAACAACAAACACCATGGAAGTCCAGGAAATCATCAGAGACTACTTTGAGAACCTATATTCAAATAAATTTGAAAATCTTAAAGAAATGGACAGATTTCTAGATACATATGATCATCCAAAACTGAACCAAGAGGAAATTAATCACCTGAATAGATCTATAACACAAAATGAAATTGAAGCAGCAATCAAGAGTCTCCCCAAAAAGAAAAGTCCAGGACCTGATGGATTCTCTGCTGAATTCTATCAGACCTTTAAAGAAGAACTGATACCAACCCTCCTTAAACTGTTCCACGAAATAGAAAGGGAAGGAAAACTGCCAAACACATTTTATGAAGCCAGTATTACACTTATCCCAAAACCAGGCAAAGACACCTCCAAAAAGGAGAACTATAGGCCAATCTCCTTAATGAACATTGATGCAAAAATCCTCAACAAAATAATGGCAAACGAATTCAACAACACATCAAAAAGATTATTCACCACGACCAAGTAGGCTTCATCCCAGGGATGCAGGGGTGGTTCAACATACGAAAATCAATAAACGTAATAAACCACATTAACAGAAGCAAAGACAAAAACCACTTGATCATCTCAATAGATGCAGAAAAAGCCTTTGATAAGATCCAACACATTTCATGATAAAAGCTCTAAGAAAACTAGGAATAGAAGGAAAGTACCTCAACATTATAAAAGCTATATATGACAAACCTACAGCCAGCATTATACTTAACGGAGAAAAACTGAAACCATTCCCTCTAAAATCAGGAACCAGACAAGGATGCCCACTATCTCCACTCCTATTCAACATAGTACTGGAATTCCTAGCCAGAGCAATTAGGCAAGAAGAAGGAATAAAAGGAATACAAATAGGTAAAGAAACTGTCAAAATATCCCTATTTGCAGACGACATGATCCTATACCTTAAAGACCCAAAAAACTCTACTCAGAAGCTTCTAGACATCATCAATAGCTATAGCAAGGTAGCAGGATATAAAATCAACATAGAAAAATCATTAGCATTTCTATACACTAACAATGAGCAAACTGAAAAAGAATGTATGAAAACAATTCCATTTACAATAGCCTCAAAAAAAATCAAATACCTAGGTGTAAACCTAACAAAAGATGTGAAAGACCTCTACAAGGAAAACTATACACTTCTGAAGAAAGAGATTGAGGAAGACTATAGAAAGTGGAGAGATCTCCCATGCTCATGGATTGGTAGAATCAACATAGTAAAAATGTCTATACTCCCAAAAGTAATCTACATGTTTAATGCAATTCCCATCAAAATTCCAATGACATTCATTAAAGAGATTGAAAAATCTACTGAAATTTATATGGAAACACAAGAGGCCACGAATAGCCAAGGCAATACTCAGTCAAAAGAACAATGCAGGAGGTATCACAATACCTGACTTCAAACTATATTACAAAGCAATAACAATAAAAACAGCATGGTACTGGCACAAAAACAGACATGAAGACCAGTGGAACAGAATAGAGGACCCAGATATGAAGCCACACAACTATAACCAACTTGTCTTTGACAAAGGAGCTAAAAATATACGATGGAGAAATAGCAGCCTCTTCAACAAAAACTGCTGGGAAAACTGGTTAGCAGTCTGCAAAAAACTGAAACTAGATCCATGTATATCACCCTATACCAAGATTAACTCAAAATGGATCAAGGATCTTAATATCAGACCCAAACTCTAAAGTTGATACAGGAAAGAGTAGGAAATACTCTGGAGTTAGTAGGTATAGGTAAGAACTTTCTCAATGAAACCCCAGCAGCACAGCAACTAAGAGATAGCATAGATAAATGGGACCTCATAAAACTAAAAAGCTTCTGTTCATCAAAAGAAATGGTCTCTAAACTGAAGAGAACACCCACAGAGTGGGAGAAAATATTTGCCAGCTATACATCAGACAAAGGACTGATAACCAGAATATATAGGGAACTTAAAAAACTAAATTCTCCCAAAACTAATGAACCAATAAAGAAATGGGCAAGTGAACTAAACAGAACTTTCTCAAAAGAAGAAATTCAAATGGCCAAAAACACATGAAAAAATGCTCACCATCTCTAGCAATAAAGGAAATGCAAATTAAAACCACACTAAGATTCCACCTCACCCCTGTTAGAATAGCCATCATTAGCAACACCACCACCAACAGGTGTTGGCGAGGATGCGGGGAAAAAGGAACCCTCTTACACTGTTGGTGGGAATGTAAACTAGTACAACCACTCTGGAAAAAAATTTGGAGGCTACTTAAAAAGCTAACATTGATCTACCATTTGATCCAGCAATACCACTCTTGGGGATATACCCAAAAGACTGTGACACAGGTTACTCCAGAGGCACCTGCACACCCATGTTTATTGGCACTATTCACAATAGCCAAGTTATGGAAACAGCCAAGATGCCCCACCACTGACGAATGGATTAAGAAAATGTGGTATCTATACACAATGGAATTTTATGCAGCCATGAAGAAGAATGAAATGTTATCATTCGCTGGTAAATGGATGGAATTGGAGAACATCATTCTGAGTGAGGTTAGCCTGGCCCAAAAGACCAAAAATCGTATGTTCTCCCTCATATGTGGACATTAGATCAAGGGCAAACACAACAAGGGGATTGGACTTTGAGCACATGATAAAAGCGAGAGCACACAAGGGAGGGGTGAGGAGAGGTAAGACACCTAAAAAATTAGCTAGCATTTGTTGCCCTTAATGCAGAGAAACTAAAGCAGATACCTTAAAAGCAACTGAGGTCAATAGGAAAAGGGGACCAGGAACTAGAGAAAAGGTTAGATCAAAAAGAATTAACCTAGAAGGTAACACCCACGCACAGGAAATCAATGTGAGTCAACTCCCTGTATAGCTATCCTTATCTCAACCAGGAAAAACCCTTGTTCCTTCCTATTATGGCTTATACTCTCTCTACAACAAAATTAGAAATAAGGGCAAAATAGTTTCTGCTGGGTATTGAAGGGGTAGGGGGGAGAGGGACAGGGCAGAGTGGGTGGTAAGGGAGGGGGTGGGGATAGGGGGGAGAAATGACCCAAATCTTGTATGCACATATGAATAAAAAAAAAAAAAAGAGTTAAGCAAACCAGGAAGTATAGTATCAAAAGTACGGGAATGTGGGGCGCTTCAGTGTTCTGAACTGAGGCAGCACACTGAGGTGCAGTTCCAAGTATACACCAACCTCCACCTACAGCTCTGCCTTCCCAGCTCTCTCATCTTGGGCAGCTATTAAACCTTTTCCTGCTTCAATTTCTTCATGTTTAAAATAGGGACATAATTGTACCCGTCACATAAGTCAGATGTTTTTTGCATTTTCAGCTCTATACATTTATGTATTACATGTTAACTATTATACATTTTAATGTGTAATCATTCTACAAATGTTTTACTTTAGTAATAAAAACCCAAATATTAACAAAAGAAAGGCTAGCAACAAATAACAGATACATCTTCAAATGTGGAAAAGGATGTTCAAAGGATAAAACCATGATATTATTTCAATCTGATCTTCTTACCATTCCTTTTTTGTGATGCAGCCATTCTGTAATCTATCAGAATTTGACTTGTACAAATGTACAACTTTAGTCAGACATACAAAAGAAGACTCCCAAATAAGTTACATCTAACTCTCTGACTGTTCCAATTCTATTACAAAAAGGCAAGTTTAAACAGATTCCTAGTCCTTATTTCAAAGCAACAGAACAAAATCCTGGTACAGCTAAGCCTTTATGAAGTCCTTGCATCCTGTTCAAATCACAGTTCTTTTTTATGAAGATTTTATTGCTTTCACTGGTGAAAACACAGCTTGGCAACAAGAAGGAACAGGTCTAAATCACACAACACAACATAGCTTTAGCCTTACCGTGTGGCCGAGGTGACGGTTGTGGCTGCCAGAAAGGTTTCCCCTTGTGGATATGACTTGGTTTGGACATATGTCTGACTCTTCCAGGTCGATTGACTGGAAAACTGTGCCCGTGAGGATTCTCCCTAAAGTAGAAATTATACAATTATTATACTCCTAAAATCTCTTATTAGTGAAGAACCTTAATATTTCAAAAAGCCCAAATTACAGCCAAGATTAATATTCACTTGACACTGCTTATTCTGTACCTTAATGTTACATTTAATGTATAATAAACTGCAATAAGTTATTCTTTTGTATGTCAACTTCATGCTAGGCAGGTGCTCAACCACTTGAACCACACCTCCCACCCTTTTTGCTATGGTTATTTTGGAGGCAGGGTCTCACTTTTACCCAGGCTGGCCTGGATTGAATTCTCCTATTTTATACTTCCCCCCTCACTGGGATGACAGGTGTGTGCCATGACACCCAGCATTTTTCTGTTGACATGGAGTCTCACAAACTTTTTTGCCTGGGTTGGCTTGGAACCGTGATTCTTCTCATCTTACTCTCTGAAGCAGCTAGGATGACAGGTGTGAGCCACTGGCACCCAGCTTAATTAACGTGTTTAACAAAATTTTTACTTATCTCTCTAACCATTTCATATTCTCCATATGTCTGGCAGCTATTTATGTATTTAATCTCCTGCTTTGTTCTAGAAAAGACTCCAGGGAAACCTATGGTATTTTGAGCAAACTTCAAACTACACACACAAGTGATCTGGTTATGTCTGGATTTTGTTGGTAGTATTTCCTGTAGGATTTTTCTTTTTTTTTTTTTTAAGTGGTACTGGGCGTTGGACTTGGGACCTTGCACTTGCTATACACTTAAGCCACACCTCCAGCCCTCCTTTAGGCTTTTAAATTCTGTGATTAGGTTTTATAACTCTAATCATCAAGGTGGTAATTTTTAGCAATACTGTGCTGCCAATTCTTGTTCATCATATGGATCACGAGCAGATATAAGTCTGCGTGTTTGTTTGCCATATATAACAAGTTTTATAGTTGGGTACTTTAGCATTCTGTATTTAATGAATTCCTGACTAATGGATGCACATCCAAACCCACTGCAGGTGATTAAGGTAGTATCTATAACTGAGCGGGCATAATTGGGCAGGGTGGGGAGGGTAGCAGAAGGAAAAGTGGCAAGTAGGTTGGAGCTGGCTGTTCCTGCCAGAGTGAAGACAACTGGTGGAGAAACAAGGAGAGTAATAGGAGGCAAACTACAGAAGCAAATTTTAACAGAAAATAAAGAAAAAAAGTATAAATAGATAGCACTTTTCATAACTCAGGTGTACTTAAGTTCTTTGTTACAGCTTAGTAATTTAATAGCATTTTGCCTTTTTTCCTTGGTGATTCTTTACATTTATAAAGAGCTCATCATTATTGGGCTGTTGTTTTCTCATTTTATCATCTTACACTAAGCAGGGTAGATGCAAATACAGTGAAATTGGGTCACCAAAGTGCCACACATCAGACCTGACATTCTTTTGCCAAATGACATGCTAAACCTTGCCTCACCTCCTGGGAGAAGGGCATTGTTGCCGTCTGGAGTGCTGAGCAATATTGGGCGTGTTAGGCAGTGGTTTCTGTGTGGGCGCTGGTAACTGTACTGACTCAGATAGCAGTTCATTCATCAGACTGTATGCTTGCGAGATTCGACGACTATAGTGGTCAGAGAGCAGCAATCTTTAGACAGAGAATTAAAATGCATTACTTAAAGAGTCACTTCTAGTTCATGCTTCTGGAGAAAACTATGCTTGCTTTTTTTCAGAGCTTTTCAAATCCTTCTGATTCATCAGATTTCATTAAAAAAGAATCACTGGACAGTACAGGGTATTATTAAAGGAACTTAATAAATTAAAGGCATTTAAAAGCCTTGGAGGTATTTCCCAAATGCACGTACAAATCTGGGTTGGGAAAAGGAGGAGAACAGCAGAAATAAAAGTTGTAAAAACTGAATGGTACAAATATGTGAAAGCAAATTCCTAAAAAAGCTTCTTAGTCTATGTATGTTACTTACCATGATATCTTCCATAATACTCTGTTTATTGAAAGAAAACTGTTGTGAAAAATATATTTCCTAAGGTACTGTCTACGCCAAGCATCAGTGAGCCAGAGAGAATGCTTAGGGTGTAACTCCCAAGCTTACCTATCTTTCTCATGCTTTGTCTTTTGTCTCAGCCGGATTTCCTTTGAAGTCATGTAAAACTGTGTAAGAAATATCCAGTTAGTTTGCTACTGTTCACTACAAATAATTAAACCACTGGACACAATTAGAAAGCAGAGGAAAACAGAGCCATATTTGATATAGCTTCCAATGCTAATACAAAACCTAAAAATGTTAAGTTAAAACATCATGTTATTAAAGTAAGATCTAATTTGATAAACAGAATGCAAAATCTATTTTACTAGTTAAATTAATATATTTTGCCAAAAGGGAAGGACCTTATTATCTGCATTTAAAATTGAAAAGAACATTTTATGGATGGAGACCCCTCAACTTTGTACTCAATCTTGTGATTAATTTCACCAAGAGCTTGGCTGAAGAAGTGGAACTGAGTCAGACACTGAAAATGATCACTTTAATGTTTTAAAATGTTTACAAATACCTGCTGGAAACTCATTGTGCCTTGTAAATTTTTCAGAATTTATGAACTAGAAGGCAAAGTGACAAAGGTCAGATATACACATTTCATTCTAGAACAGTAAGAATTACTGCTGTGGGGCTGAAAGCGTGACTTGGAAATAGAATGCTTGCCTGCTTGCCTAGCAGGTGCAAAGCATGGGGTTTGATCTCCTCTGAGAGAAAGAGAGAGAAAAAGAGAGAGAGGGAAGGAAGGTAAGGGGGAGAGGGAGAGAGAGAGAGAGAGAGAGAGAGAGAGAGAGAGAGAGAGAGAGAGAATGAATGAATGAAGAGAATACTGTTTTAAATTACATGTGAGGTTGTCTCTTCATACATAATTATATACATAAAAACAGGCACCTAGAAGTAAATCCACTTTCTTAAGGTATTATATAGAAGTAGTGACAAATTAAAGGTTTCTGATAGAAATTCAAAGAAAAATTTCTATTACATCAACCCTTCACTAATCTCATGCCCTTACTCAAATAGAAGCTAAAATTAAAAGAAACAAGTGTTTGTGATCTTGAACAAGATGTCACAAAATCCATAAACCAAACTGTCCTGTTGTCCTCACAATTAATTTACTCTAAATTTTAACACAATTCTACCATCTTGGGTATTTTCTTGGCTGACAGGGCAGGTGGTGGTAGAACCCCTCCCTCACGGGGAGGGAAACACACAGAGACACAATTTTAAGATTCTGGTCCCATAACTCAGCAGCCCTGAAGGTCCCTATCATGTCCAGGAGCTGACCAAGAAAATGTTATATGAACACAGGTATGCTCTTTCCAGAGACAGGTACATAAAGTACATATTTTAAATGATAGTTCACCTACTTTTGCACCATGGGGAGTTTAAATGGAACAGCCCTTATCTAGAAAATTCGCTTACAGAATTTATTCTAATGAGACTTAAAATGAAGTGCTATTTCAGATTACAAAATATAAGATAAGCCATAATCTAATTACAATCTAAATGTAACTTTCATAGTAATATAATTATCAAGATAAAACTATTTTCCTTCACTTTTTGAGTTGTTTTACTTTTTTGTGGTACTTAGGGATTGAACTCATTTCACTTTTGAAGAAAAAATATTCCTGATCTGGCCATGAGGACTCAGCAAGTAAATGTGAATAGCTTAAAGGGCAGTTAAACAAACTCAAACACACACACACACACACACACCACACACACATATGCAGACACAAACACACACACACACACGTCACTGCTCTGCTGGTACATACTTAGACCCTAATTATATTTTTATTTTTTTAAAAATTTTATTCATATGTGCATACAATATTTGGGTCATTTCTCCCTCCTTCTCCCTGCCCTCCTTGCTACCAGGCAGAAATTATTTTGCCCTTATCCTAGTTTTGTTGAAGAGAGAGTATAAGCAGTAATAGGAAGGACCAAGGGTTTTTGCTAGTTGAGATAAGGAAAGCTATGCAGGGAGTTGACTTGCATTGCTTTCCTGTACATGTGTGTTACGTGCTAAGTTAATTCTTCTCGAACTAACTTTTTCTCTATTTCCTGGTCCCCTTCTCCTATTGGCCTCAGTTGCTTTAAAGTATCTGCTTTAGTTTCTCTGCGTTGACGGCAACAAATGCTATGTAGTTTTTTGGGTGTCTTACCTATCCTCATACCTCCCTTGTGTGCTTTTGCTTTATCATGTGATCAAAGTCCAATCCCCTTGTTGTGTTTGTCCTTGATCTAATGTCCGCATATGAGGGAGAACATATGATTTTTGGTCTTTTGGGCCAGGCTAACCTCACTCAGAATGATGTTCTCCAGTTCCATCCATTTACTTGCAAATGATAACATTTCATTCTTCTTCATGGCTGAGTAAAATTCAGCCATGAATTTGTGTACAAGTACCATATTTTCTTGATCCATTCATCAGTACTGGGGCAATTTGGCTGTTTCCATAACTTGGCTATTGTCAATAGCGCTGCAATAAACATGGGTGTGCAGGTGCCTCTGGAGTAACCTGTGGTGCATTCCTTTAGGTATATCCCCAGGAGTGAGATTGCTGGATCATATGGCAAATGTACGTTTAGATTTTTACAAAATCTCCAAACTTTTTTCCAGAGTGGTGGCACCAGCTTGCATTCCCACCAGCAATGGATTAGGGTTCCTTTTTTCCCACATCCTTGCCAGCACTTGTTGTTGTTGGTGTTTTGGATGATGGCTATTCTAACAGGGGTGAGGTGGAATCTTAGTGTGGTTTTGATTTGCATTTCCTTTATGGCCAGAGATGGTGAGCATTTTTTCATGTGTTTTTTAGCCATTTGAATTTCTTCTTTTGAAAAAGTTCTGTTTAGTTCAGTTGCCCATTTCTTAATTGGTTCATTGATTTTAGGAGAGTTTAGTTTCTTAAGTTCCCTCTATATTCTGGTTATCAGTCCCTTGTCTGATGTATAGCTGGCAAATATTTTCTCCCACTCTGTAGGTGGTCTTTTCAGTTTAGAGACCATTCTTTTGTTGTGCGGGAGCTTTTAATTTTATGAAGTCCCATTTATTCATTCTTTCTCTTAGTTGCTGGGCTGCTTGGGTTCTATTGAGGAAGTCTTTGCCTATACCTATTTGTTCCAGAGTGTTTCCTGCTCCTTCCTGTAGTAACTTCAGAGTTTAGGTCTGATATTCAGGTCCTTGATCCATTTTGAGTTGATACTAGTACAGGATGATAGACATGGATCTAGTTTCAATTTCTTGAAGACAGGTAACCACTTATCCCAGCAACATTTGTTGAAGAGACTGTCTTTTCTCCATCATATATTTTTGGCACCTTTGTCAAAAATGAGGTGGATGTAGTTGTGTGAGTTCATATCTGGGTCCTCTATTCTGTTCCACTGGTCTTCATGTCTGTTTTTGTGCCAGTGCAATGCTGTTTTTATTTCTATTGCTTTGTAATATAGTTTGAAGTCAGGTATTGTGATACCTCCAGCATTGCTCTTTTTGCTGAGTATTGCCTTGGCTATTCACGGTCTCTTATGTGTCCAAATGAACCTTAGGATAGATTTTTCAATCTCTGTGATGAAAGTCATTGGGATTTTGATGGGAATTGCATTAAACATGTAGATTGCTTTCAGTACTATAGCCATTTTTACTATGTTGATTGTACCGATCCATGAGCGCGGGAGGTCTTTCCATCTTCTGTAGTCTTCTTCGATCTCTTTGTTCAGGAGTTTGTAATTTTCCTTGTAGAGGTCATTCAACATCCTTTGTTAAATTCACACCTAGGTATTTGATTTTTTTTGAGGCTATTGTAAATGGAATTGTTTTCATATATTCTTTCTCAGTTTGTTCATTATTAGTGTATAGAAATGCTAATAATTTTCTATGTTGATTTTATATCCTGCTACCTTGCTATAGCTATTGATGGTGTCTAGGAGCTTTTGAGTAGAGTTTTTTGGGTCTTTAAGGTATAGGATCATATTGTCTGCAAACAGGGATATTTTGACAGCTTCTTTACCTATTTGTATTCCTTTTATTCCTTCTTCTTGCCTAATTGCTCTGGCTAGGAATTCCAGTACTATGTTGAATAGGAATGGAGATAGTGGGCATCCTTGTTTTTTTCCTGATTTTAGAGGGAATGGTTTCAGTTTTTCTCCATTAAGTATAGTGCTGGCTGTAGGTTTGTTATCTATAGCTTTTATAATGTTTAGGTACTTTCCTTCTATTCCTAGTTTTCTTAGAGCTTTTATTAGTATGGAATGTCCTTCTTTATCTTGTTTGATCAAAGTAGGTTTGAAGTCTACTTTGTCTGAGATAAGTACTGCTACCCCTGCCTGTTTTCGGGGACCATTGGCTTGGTAAATCTTCCAGCCTTTCACTCTCAGCCAGTGCTTATTTCTGTCAATGAGGTGGGTGTGCTGTAGGCAGCAGATGGTTGGATCTTCCTTTTTAATCCAGTTTGCCAATCAGTGCCTTTTGATGGGTGAATTAAGTCCGTTAACATTAAGCGTTAGTACTGATAGGTATGTGGTGATTCCTGTTATTTAGTTGTCTTAGTTGTTTGAAGGTTTAATTGTATGTACCTAAGTTGAGGTTACTCTCTACTTTCTTGTTTTCTTCTCCTGCAGTTTGGTACTGCCTGCCCTTTCATGGTTATATTGGGTTTCACTCTCTGTGTGTAGAATCCTTTGAAGAATCTTTTGTAGTGGTGGCTTTGTGGTCACATATTGTTTTAGTTTCTGCTTATCATGGAAGACTTTTATTGCTCCATCTATTTTGAATGATAGTTTTGCAGGGTAGAGTATCCTGGGGTTGAAGTTATTTTCATTCAGTGCCCGGAAGATCTCACCCCACTCTTCTTGCTTTTAATGTTTCTGTTGAGAAGTCTGCTGTGATTTTGATGGGTTTACCTTTGTATGTTGTTTTTTCTCTCTCACAGCCTTCAATATTCTTTCTCTAGTCTCTGTACTTGTTGTTTTAATGATAATATGTTGTGGGGTAGTTCTATTTTGGTCAGGTCTGTTCGGTGTTCTGGAGGCTTCCTGTATCTGAATGGGCATAGTTTTCTTTAGATTTGGGAAGTTTTCTGTTGTTATTTTGTTGAATATATTACACATTCCTTTTGCTTGCACCTCTTCTTCTTCAATGCCCATGATTCTCAGGTTTGGTCTTTTGATGGAGTCAGTGAGTTCTTGCATTTTCTTTTCACAAGTCTTGAGTTGTTAACTAATAGTTCTTCAGTTTTTCCTTTAATTACCATTTCATCTTCAAGTTCTGAGATTCTGTCTTCTGTTTGTTCTATTCTGCTGGATTGGACTTCCATTTTGTTTTGTATTCCTGTTTCATTTTTTTTCTGAGGTTTTCCATATCATGGTTTACTTCCTCTTTAATATTGTCAATTTTTGACCTTAATTCATTTTTCTGTTTGTGGTGGTCTCAATTTTAGTTTGGTGTTTATTTATGGTTTCTATGTTTTCATTTATTTGTTTTTGTGTTTTCTCATATTCTTTATTTTTGTCCTCTTGGAATTTCTTGAGTGTCTCCTGTACATTTTGGTTGACCATGTCTAGTAACATCTCTATGAAATTCTCATTAATTACTTGAAGGATTTCTTCTTTCAGTGTGTTCTTGTGGGTTTCGTTGGATTCCTTGGTATAGTTTATCTTTGTTTTGTTGGAGTCTGGGTCTGGGTATCTGTTTTCTTCATTTCATTCTAAATCCTGCAGTACTTTATTTTTTGTGGGGAAATAGTTTCCTTCCCTTTTTTTTCTTTCCATATTTTCACTAGGTAACGTTTCTATCCCTGAACTATGTGTAATTTAATATTAGCTGGATAGTAATATTATACTAATAAAACCAAGAGAGAAAGATAAAAAGAGAGAGAGATGGAAAGATAAAAGGACTAGAGTAGAGAGTAAAAGAGAAAAAAAATGGTAGAGATGGTGGATGATCAAACAGTAAACCAGGCAGCAAATTCCTTAAAGAAGGGAAAAAAATAAAAATTAAAAATTAAAAAAATCACCAGTTCTGGAGCAGTAGAATTGCAGTCTTAGTTGTTTTGATGTTTGTTCTTTAGCATCCAGACCTGTCTGTGTGTGTCTCTTAGGTAGGTTTGGAGCCTTCCTGTGGCAGGTGGACACTGGGTGGGGTCCCTTGGGCCTCTGGGTGGAGGCCTTCAGCTGAGGTGAAGTAGCAGGCCTTTGGAGCATGGGCAGACCCTAATTTTTTTCTATTCTTTGTCAGTAACTTATAGATAAAAAATAAGTTTTAAAAATGGCATTAGGGCTGGAGGCATGGCTTAAGTGGTAGAGCACCTGCCCAGCAAGTGCAAGGCCCTGAGTTCAAATCCCAGTACCACCACCAAAAAAAAAGGCATTAATGGGCTGGGCATGGTGGCACTTGTCTATAATCCCAATGATATGGACAGCGGAGATGGGAGGATAAGCCCAGGCAAAAAAGTTAGTGAAACCTTATCTGAAAAACAAGCTGGAATGGTGGTGAATACCTGTAATCTTAGCTATGTGGGAGACAGAGGCAGGAGGATCACAGTCCAAGATGAGACCCTACCTGAAAAGTAAGAACTAAAGCAAAAAGGACTGGGACCATAGCTCAAGTGATAAAGCTGCTTGTCTAGCATGTGTAAGGCCCTGAATCCAAATCCCAATACTGCTCAGAAAAAAAAAAAAAAAAAAACCTCAGTGGGCTATTCAACTGAAAAGTAAAGAAAAAAACCCAAAAACTCTGTTTTACCCAATCACTCACTAGCGCAATAATAAGCCTGAGGGAGAAAAAAAAGATTTAAGATCATTAAACGGAACAGTGTGCACACTATCCCACTACACTTTGTTAAGGTCAATTCTTTTCCTAACTTACTTAAAATGTTGAGTTTTTGATCTGCCCAATTAAAAAAGACATTCAGATCATGTTAATCTTTTTCTCGCCTATTCACCAGGAAAAAAATTACAATACGTTCTGCCGCAATTCCACTGCCATCAATTCAGCAGACTTACTGGACTGCTTCTGGGGCAGAAAGGATCATGCTCCTGACCCCTCCTTTTTGCCAGCTGATGTAAATACTCTGCCATTCTTTCTTTTCGCTTTCTTTTCATCCAGACTCTAATTTCTCTTTTCTCCTTCTCAGTTCTTTGTGGATGCCTGCCAGAAGAACGCTGAATGCTGAGAAATTTAATAAGAGACGCATCATTGGTCTTTTAATTTGTTATGCAGATAAGAAGTATCCTGACTGAGTACTATTCATTTGGAAAGATTCTGCCCATCCTGAAAAGTAGTATCCACCATCCAGGTATGGAACCTTGGATCTCCTGCTTCTACCTCCTGATTGCTGAGATTACAAGCACATGTCACCATATAAGTAAGTCAAGTGCACAAATTTCAGGAAAGCATGAATAGGGAAGTCAGTGTTAATTTTATCCATGAAGGGCTGCAAGGAAAAGCATTTCAACCTAATGTTGCATGGAAAAGCTACTGTAAATATATCATAAGGATTGATATTTAGGATAAAGTACCATGAACTAAATCATTAATTACTTCTAATAAGAAGTAGCACTAACTGTATGTTATACAGTGATAAAACCTGGGAAAACTCAAAGGATACGGATTCGTTGTGTAGATAATCCAGTATTTATACTGCCAGGGAAGGAAGAATGAACACATGTCACTAAAAGGTCTTATGAACAAAACATCTATTCTGAGCTCAAATTTGTTTCAAAAAAATTACATTAAAATAAGGACAATTCTGGACAGTCTTCAACCTGAAACATTTTAAGTAAAGAAGTGAATTTTTCAGAGGCTGGGATGTAGGTCAGTGGAAGAGCATGTGTTTAACATGCACAAGACCGTCTATATTCAGAACAAACAAGACAAAACAAAACAAACAAACAACCTCCAATGATTACCTAGAAATACTCCTTGCTTGATGTTCGGTTAAGCCAAGCTCTTCACTGGAAACTCCACCTTCAGTTATAAGGTCATCAATAATGTCAGCAATATCAGTCAATCCAGTCATCTGGAGTGGATCTACTGAAACACTTTAATTGCAAATGGAATTTGAGAAAGATAAATCAGTATCTACCACTCTTCCTTCTATTTCTATAATTTTGGTATCTCTTAGTGGAAAAGCCTAATTAACAACAATTGATTACCTCTACTACTTTGTGGGGGCTCTAAAAAAACAAATTTGGGCCCAGGTGAAAAATTCTATGGTATTGACTACTGAAATTTAATTTATATTTAGTAAAAGAAAATGTAGCCATTTCTATTATATTTTAATTACCTATGTTAAAACAGAAAGAAAAATAACATGACACTTCTGTTTCTTAAAACACCCCATTCTCAATGAAAAATTATTATATTCCTTTAAGCTACAAAAGATGTGTAATGTAAAAATTCATATTCATAGGAAAAACAAAATTTCCAGAATATGTAACTACACCCAAATTTAAGTGAAATCATGAACTCTTAAAATACTTACCTCTCCAGTAATTCATCACTGTTATTCACACCTTAGAAAAGAAGTATTATTATTACTAAAAATTTCAGGTCAGTTATTTGTAACTTCAATTATTAATCACATTTAGAAATTATGTAACCAGAATGAAATAATTTTGAAACCTCTAAATTAGTTTAAAGATATATCTATATAGAACATTTAAAGCTACATTAATGTCTACACTTTAAGATTATGACTTTTCTGTCATGAGTATTTTGTAGAATACATTTTAGGAAATACAATTCTTCTTTGCTTAGTACACAGTTTAGGATACTGGAGTGCAGTTTACATAAAAATTAAACAAAAATGGCAAAATTCTGGTGATCAGAAACTAATACATGTTGAAAAATGTATAACCTAAATTCAAGAAGCAGGTTATTCAGAAGAACAAGACCCAAGGAATAATTTTTGAGCTTTTTCTAATATTAACTATATACTTTTAAACAAAACAATCTGTTCAGTATTCTATGTATCTAACTCTGAAAGACCATCAACTAAAGGAAAAGTGTTCTGACATCTCTTATCAAAAAAACAATCATTGTTAAGATTTTATTAGACTAAGATAAACCAAACCCTCCCCTAAGACTTGAGTTCAAACTCCAGACCCACCAAAAAAAAAAAAGATTAATCTCTAAGACTTATTCATCCACACATTTCTAATATGAAATAATTTGCTTTATTGAGCACATATTGTTAATTTACTAATCCTAAGTCAAAAATTTTATCTTTGTTCTTAACATCTGTGCATGTGTGAGTTTGTAATAACAATTAATTAAATTTAACTATTTTGCATAAATCTAAGATGATAGCAATAGTAATAATCTACCCCATAGTTCTTTGCTCAGGAGAAAAACATACTAGTTAGAAGAGAGGGTCCATTAAAGTGATACTTTCTGTCAATGTTTGAATGACCCCTGCCAGCCTAACCATGAGGAAAACTAAGGATTCCCTCCAGTACTGACTGGGCTGCATAAGGGAAGTAAGTGAGACCAGTCAAAGGTGGTTAAAGGTCCAAGTGTTAGTCACCAGAGGTAAGCACCAAGATGCCCTTTCTTCTGCCACGACCATGAGCTCATGGCCAGTGTCTACAACCCTGGGCAAGTTTAGTACTTCTCAATCGCCACTACTAAAGGAAGTCTTTTTGCAGAACTCCAAAGCACTTTGGTAACAAGTGCAACTGAACAACTTCATGTTTAACGACAAACTGTCTTCCATTATAGGATTTATTGCCTTTGATTACTGATAAATATCTTTCTCAATTCAATTATTATTCAGAGGTGCCTCTGAATATCTTATGGATATTACCAAAAATTAAATCCATCTTCAGTGAGTAAGTTATTTGCCATCGAGAATACTCAGAAGAGTGCCAGGCATTGTGACACATACTTATGATCATAGCTATGTGGGAGGCAGAGATGGGAGGATCATGGTTTGAATCCGTCCTGGGCAAAGTTAATGAGATTATACTTTAAAAAAAAAAAAAAAGCTACATTGGTGGTAATGCCAGCTACACAGAAAGTGAAGGAGAAGGAGGAAGATTGCAGTCTGAGGCTGGCCCAAAGAGAAAGTGAGATCAAACTGAAAAAAAAAAAACTGAAGCAAACAGGGCTGGGAAAGTGACTTGAGTAGGAGAGCACTTGCTTTACTACTGAGTTCAAACCCCAGTAGCACCAAGATAAATAAACACTCAGAAAATGTACTAAGAAATGGAAGTTAATTGCAAAAGAGGAAGTTAATTTAAGCTATTTTATGTTATAATAGCAAGGTAGTTAGAACATATATTTCCAACATGAAAACTTTGGAATTGAAATTATTCACTTTGTTAAAAAGTAATAATGTCATTTCTTTCCAGGTTTATAATCATACAGTGAATATGAGAGAGAAAAACACGCTAATCTATTCATCTTTACATGGGTTATATGTAGAGTAGTTCATATGACAAAATGTGTTCATTAGGATGAAAGAGTAACACTTAAGTTAAATGCCGCCTCCAAATGAAATGTAAGAAAAAGTGGCACTCAAAGTTTTCACTCAATATCTTTGATTATAACAGTATCTTCCTCATGGGTCAGGCTCAAATAAGGATCCACGCATAGAAAACATCAATGGCTGGCATACAGGAGAGGCTCAATAAATGACACCAGTGCTTTGTTATTCAAAATGACCACACTCATCAGTATCAATTTCTCATCTTTTTAAAAAATCAGGTATTATAGTAATTCCATTTGCCATATATTTAACATTAAAACATTACACAGAGGGAGGGGGGATAAAGGAGAATGATGGAGAAGTGAACTATGAAATATTTAAGAACTTTTGTAACTGTCACAATATACCAACAGTACAATGATATGATAATTAAAAAATTAATTAATTAAAAAAGTTACACAGAGATATGATACAAGGTTGAAATATATCTTATAAATTTCTCATGTGAATGGCACAAGTATTAATTTTCATTCCCAGAAAAAAATATTATAAATGACTTGACAAATCCCAAAAGATATAGCTTGGTAACATAATGCAAAATAAGAATGTGTGTAAATGAAAAAAGCAAAGAATAATACCAGAAATAATATTCCAGTCACTGGAGAGGCTAAGGGCTGAATCAGCGGAAGCAATCACACGTGTTTGCTGACTAGAATGATTTTCTGTTACGGAAAATTCAGTTTCTGAAGTCTCCTCTTTAGCATTTTGATCTTCCTCATCCATAGGAGTCAGGAAATGCACTAATTCAGAGTACATATTACAATTAAAAGAAAATAGTAGGGAAAAAAAATCACAGGGAAACATAAAGTAACAACTGCTGACACTGCCCCATAGCAACACAGATATACAAGAAGTTTGCAACATATTATTCTGATAGCTTTCTACAGTATAGTGAACTAATTTAATATGAAATTTAAAATTAAAACTCTTCCATAGTAAAAAAAAAAAAACAAATTTAAGATAGGAAACAGAAATCCTAACAAAACAATAGAATAGGCACAGATGAAAAAGTGATCAGCATGCACGAAGCCCTGGGTTCAATCTGCAGGACCAAAAAACCACAATGGAATGAAAGTAATACAAAATTCCCAATGTTAAACCATCAAACTGAAGAATCATTTCCACTTTAGTAGAAGATAAAAAGAATACAGTCAAGTACCAGTGGCTCACATCAGTAATCCTAGCTCCCCGGGAGGCTGAGATCAGGAGGACATGGTTCGATACCCATCTCCAAAATATCCAGAGCAAAATGGACTGGAGATATGGCTCAAGCAGTAGAGTGCCTGTTTTGCAAGCATGAAGTCCTGAGTTCAAACCCCAGTCTCACCAAAAACAAAAAAACAAAAAAGAAAGAAATACAAACCTATAAACACTATATCAACAAAACAAAAGAAAAAAATTTCTTTTGACACAGGGTCTTGCAATGTATCAGGTTGGCCTTGACCTCACTATGTAGTCCAGGTTGACCTACAATTCATGATTCTCCTGCCTCAGCCTCTCAAGTGTGGGGCTTACAGGTATATACCACTATGCCCAGTGTAAAGAGAGATTTGTAAAGTCATCAGAGATAAAAGAACAACAGTTAGACTGATAGCATATATGTAGTGTAAACTCAGCAATTAGTACTGTTAGTAGATACTGGAATAATATTTCTTAAATGCTGAGGGAGATCCCAAAATTGGAGTCTGAGAATTATGTCTTCAGATATAACCACTCAAAAGGCAGAGTAAAATTAAAGCTATTTTCAGAGACTGGGAGAATTTAGCACTCACAGATGCTAGATGAAAGAACTAACAAAGAACAAAAGAGGAAATGGAATCTTTAAAGAAAGAGAAGTAAGAAACAACTGTGGGCAAAACAGAGAAGAAAAAATGCAAAGTGCATCTCAGGCAGGGAGTGTTGTTCATGAAACTCCTGCCATGGTTTTATACATTTGATGCTTACATAGTTACATTATTTGAATTAAATTTTTAAAGAAGTAATTGTGAGAAAATAAACTGATGGAGAATTCCAAGACGGGAGCTAGAGGGAGGAAGCAGAAAGTGTGCCTCCTAAAGTGAAATCTTGGAGAGATGCTGGAGAAATACCTTAAAGGAAAAACCACCGAGAAGAGGCAAAACTTTGACTCCTCCACACCTCCAGCCCATACGTAGCATTCCCACTCCACGTTAAACGGAGAAACAAGGAGGGCTCCAGCACCGACGCCAGACGCCAGTGCCCAAACAGCTTGGGAAGATGCGGACCACAAGGTGAGCTAAGTGGTACACAGTACTTCCACAGACAATCTTGGGCCAGATCAGCATAGCCTCCTGGACAGACCGAGCCACACCCAGGGAAAAAAGAGAAACTGAATAATAAGCAATAACAAAAAAGACATGTAGCAAGAGGGTGGGGTGCCTGAGCATCAAAGAGGGGGGAGTGCCCTGAGCACCAAAGAGGAGGGGAGGGGAAATCCCTCACAAGCCAGCTGGAGAAGGCAGGAGCAGTGGCACACGCCCAGCAACCAGAAGCGGAAAAGCTTGTAAAAGTGGCGGTGGGAGGAAAACTCCACAGGAGAGGGGGGAAGACCCACTTCCCATGTGAGCTGTAAATAAACACGCAGGCCTGAGAGAGCGGGTGCAGTGTCACCTCCCCCAGTGTGCTTGAAAAGGGGAAAGCTTGTGGCAGTGGCATCGTGCCCAGGAGAACTCTGAGTAAACAAAGCCTGTGGGGCCAGGTGAGTGTTAAGCTCACTCCTGAGATCTGCATAAATAATGCCTCCACACTATTCACAATAGCCAAGTTATGGAAACAGCCAAGATGCCCCACCACTGACGAATGGATTAAGAAAATGTGGTATCTATACACAATGGAATTTTATGCAGCCATGAAGAAGAATGAAATGTTATCATTTGCTGGTAAATGGATGGAACTGGAAAACATCATTCTGAGTGAGGTTAGCCTGGCCCAAAGACCAAAAATCGTATGTTCTCCCTCATATGTGGACATTAGATCAAGGGCAAACACAACAAGGGGATTGGACTTTGAGCACATGATAAAAGCGAGAGCACACAAGGAAGGGGTGAGGATAGGTAAGACACCTAAAAAATTAGCTAGCATTTGTTGCCCTTCACGCAGAGAAACTAAAGCAGATACCTTAAAAGCAACTGAGGCCAATAGGAAAAGGGGACCAGGAACTAGAGAAAAGGTTAGATCAAAAAGAATTAACCTAGAAGGTAACACACACACACAGGAAATTAATGTGAGTCAACTCCCTGTATAGCTATCCTTATCTCAACCAGGAAAAACCCTTGTTCCTTCCTATTATGGCTTATACTCTCTACAACAAAATTAGAAATAAGGGCAAAATAGTTTCTGCTGGGTATTGAGGGGGTGGGGGGGAGAGGGAGGGGGCAGAGTGGGTGGTAAGGGAGGGGGTGGGGATAGGGGGGAGAAATGACCCAAGTCTTGTATGCACATATGAATAATAAAAAAATAAAATAAAAAAATAACACCTCCAGCCAACATCAGGCTGACAGCAGTGGGCAGGCGAGCCACAGCCTCAGATAGCCATTCACAGAACTGTCTCCAGACTCCTTTTTTTTTTTCTCTCTCTCTTCCTTTGATGAGACAATAACTGAACTACACCTGCATGATGAAAAACTTACTGAAACTGTATTGCATTTGAACTTGGGACACTTTGTGGGATTTTTCTGTTTTGTGCTGTTTTGTTTTCTTTTGCTTTTTTTAGTTTTTTTCCCATTTGATGAGACAACGATAGAAGTACTTCTGAGACACCATCTCCAGGATTGGAGGCTGAGGGAAGAACACCAAAATTATTAAGACTGAAATTTTATTGCATTTGAACTCAGAGATTTTTTTTTTAATTAATTTATTTATTTATTTTTTATTTTTATTTTCAATCCTCTCTCTGTCTCTCTAATGCCTGTTCAGCTTACTGTTGATTAGTACACTATCTCTCCCTGTTTATATCTTTGAAACTTTTTTGTTATTTGTTTCTTTTGGTTTTTTTCTACTTGTTTGTTTTTTTCTTTTTCTTTAACTTGTTTGCTTTCCATCTCCTCTCACCCTTTTATTCTAAATATCACCAGTACCATTATTACAAGCTAGAAAATACTTAATTGCACACAGTACAGGGACAATAACAACACCAAGGGCAATGACTGGAAGACAGAAAAAACAGGGAAACCGGTTTCCCCACAGCAAAAAATTAGTACAGGAATCAGAGGGAAATGAAGAAAACAGATACTCAGATCCAGACTCCAACTAAATGAAGATAAACTATGCCAAAGAACCCAATGAAGCCCACAAGAACAATCTAAAAGAAGAAATACTATAGGTAATCAATGAGAATTTTATAAAGATGATACTGGATATGGTCAACCAAAATGTACAGGAGACACTCAAGAAATTCCAAGACAAAAAAAAGAGAATTTGAGAAAGCACAAGAAGAAATAAAAGAAACCATAGAAGCACTATATAAACACCAAAGTGCAACAAAGAACACAATTAATAAAGAGGTAAATGAACTCAAGACAAAAATAGACACCATTCGCTGGTAAATGGATGGAATTGGAGAACATCATTCTGAGTGAGGTTAGCCTGGCCCAAAAGACCAAAAAATCATATGTTCTCACTCATATGCAGACATTAGACCAAGGGCAAACACAACAAGGGGATTGGACTTTGATCACATGATAAAAGCGAGAGCACACAAGGGATATATGAGGATAGGTAAGAAACCTAAAAAACTAGATAGCATTTGTTGCCCTCAACGCAGAGAAACTAAAGCAGACACTTTAAAGCAACTGAGGCCAATAGGAGAAGGGGACCAGGAACTAGAGAAAAGGTTAGATCAAAAAGAATTAACCTAGAAGGTAACACACATACACAGGAAATCAATGTGAGTCAACTCCCTGTATAGCTGTCCTTATCTCAACTAGCAAAAATCCTTGATCCTATTATTGCTTATACTCTCTCCACAACAAAATTAGAGATAAGGGCAAAATAGTTTCTGCTGCCTATCGAGGGGGTGGGGAGGAGAGGTAGGGTGTGGGAGGGGGGTAAGGGAGAGGATGAGGGAGAGGGGAGAAATGACCCAAACATTTTATGCACATATGAATGAAAAAAAAAAAAAGTAGACAACAAACTGACAAAAACATGTGATAAATCCTAAGCAAGAACCAACTTAGTAAAAGATAAAGGAGACAACAGGTGGGTTAAAGATACAATAGATCTAAGATATTAAAAACAATTATCAGGCTGGGTGTGGTGGTCCATGTGTGTAATCCAGAACTCAAGGAGCTGGGGCAGGAGGGGAAAAAAAAAACCATGGCAAACAGGAGGCACAAGAGGTTTAAAAGAAATAAGCACAATACATGGACACTGCCAGATTTCACAGTTGGTGATTAAAGAAACAGACCACCTAGTTATTTTAAAGGAATGAAATCTAGTTATATGTTGGATAGAACCACAATAATCATGTTTGAAAGTATAGGGAGATCTAATTCACAGGAAATTCAATCATGAAAGGAGCATATTAAATGGGCCACAGAGACTCAAGTTAGTAAAACCCAGACTGACAAAAACTCAGAATAAACATCCTAGTTTCTTCAACAAAAAGCAGACATAGAAGAGAAACCTAGAAATGAAACTTATAGCTTATATGTTTCCCATGAATAGGGATTCCAACTAAAACAAAGAAATAATTTTTAAAAGTGAGACAACTGGCAACACTACAATACTGATTAGATATGTGAAAATATTAAGATTTTTTAAAGGTGTGACAATATTTTAGTCTTAAGTTTAAAAAAGGGATCTCATCTTTTAGAGAGACATATGAGATGTTTATGGATAAAATAATGTGCTATCTGGATTTTGTTTCAATGTAATACAGGAAGAAGTGGGATAGATAAAAAGGACTAGCCATGAATTGATAATTATTAAAGGTGACTGTTGGGTATATGAAGGTTAATCAGATTACTGTTGAAATATTTTTAAAAATAAAAAATATAGAAAGGATATACAAGGCAAAAGAACACAGGTATAGTAAAATTAGTATTAAACAAAACTAAGTCAAAATGCATTACTGAAGATAAAAAAGGTCATTACTTAATGATAAAAGGGGTAAAAGGGACAAAATTCAACTAAAAAAGTAAGATCCTGAATTAAATTTAACTTGGAGCCTAAAATACATAAAACAAAATTTGCCATATTTAACAGGAGAAACAATCCCATAAATCATCGTGGAAGATTTTTAATGCACCCTTCTGAGAAAGAGTATCAATAAACTAAAGAATGAAAGAGGTTAGGCACAGTGGCTCATGCCTATAATCCTAGCTATTCAGTGAGCAGAGATAGGGAGGATTGTGGTTCGCAACAACAGGGGAGACAGAGTTCCTAAATCCCAATCTCAACTAATAAAAGCTGGGTGCGGTGTCCTATGCCTGTCATCCCAGCTATGCAAGAAGCATAAACAGAATGACCATGATCCAGGATGGCATAGGCATAAAGCGAGACACTATCTCAAAAATAACCAAAGAGAGAGGGCGGGAGAGAGAGATGAAGGAAGGGAGAGAGGGAAGGAGGAAGAGTAAATACAATTTACAAGCCAGACTAAATGGATATATAACAAACACGCCCTACACACAACCATCAGAAAATGGTGATTGTTTAAATAAGTGTAGAATATTTACAAAAACTGACCATAAACACTAGGCCACAATAGAAAAAAAAACCTTTTTTGGCAGTAATTGGGTTTGAACTCAGGACTTCGTGCTTGCCAAGCAGGCACTCTAATGCTTGAGCCATTCTGCCAGCCCTTTGCTCTCTGGTTATTTTGCTTTTTTGCCCGGTCACAATCTTCCTATTTTAATCTTCTTGCCATAGCTGGGATGACAGGCACATGCCACCACACCCAGCTTGTTTCCATTGAGATGGGGTCCCACAAACATTTTTGCCAGAGCTGGCCTGGAACCACAGTCCTCCCAGTCTCAGCTGCCTGATACCTTGGAATGACAACCATGCACTACTATGTCCACTGGTCAAGATGGGGGTCTTGAAAACATTTTTTTTAACCTGGCCTAGTCTCAAACTGTGAGCCTCCCAATCTTAGCCTTCTAAAGTAGATAGGATTACAGGTGAGTCACCAGTGCCTTGCTCACAAAGAAAATTTTAACAGGTATCTAAGAAATGATACCATAATATACATCATCTAAGCCCAATGCAAAGAAAATGAAAATCAAGTCAGGTGCCAGACAGCCTCAAGAAAATCCCCTATGAAACCAAACATAATCCTAATCTAAAAACTGGAGGAAGGGCTGATGACTTCAGTTCACATATGAAAAGTATTTCTAATAAGTCTAATCAGAATTGTCACTACAGATCCTCCCCAGTATAATGAATATATCCTAATAAAAATTTCTCATAAAAAGAGGGAAAGGGAAAAAAAAGTATTTCTAGTTCTAGCACTCCAAAACCAAAGCTCATTCTTTCAGGTTAATTAAAGCCAAACTCAATCCTAACCCCTGCCATCCCCCACAAACCTTCTTCAGAAATACTGATATTTTTTGAAGTTAATGGGTTTTCAATTTCAGGGCCAGATGACAATTCAATGTGATCCACCTGTCCAACCTATAGAAAAAGCACACACAGAGCAGAAAACTATTATAAACTTTATGTTTTGGTAATTTAAAAATATTATAAGCAATTTTACGTAAGTTTTAAAATATTTGCACTAATTCAACAAAAGAATGAGATGGGATTAAATTTGATAGAGCTAAGTGGTAGGGATCAAGAAGAGGAAGTTATTATCTATTTGTAGCTTAGCTGATTTAACCTTTTATGAGGCATAGGATCATATAATTTTGAAATAGGGGAAGAACCTTAACTACCACCTAAACAAAATCTTCCATTTTACAGGTGAGAGAACAGAGATTCAGTGACTTTCCTAGGGACAGAACATGGGTTTCAACCATGTTGACTAGGAGTCCTCAAGGCTCCTAGTCAGTGCTTGTCCACAGTGTCCCTCTACCTCTTCCAGACCTACAAACTGTTTTCTTAAGTAGGCAACTTAAAGTGTATTTATGTGTACATTATAATAGGGTGAGAGCATTTTAAACAAAATATCAAGCTCATCACTTCTATCAGTGCTATTTCCTTCAAAGCAGTCATCTTTGAAGACTTAAATACTTAAGGACTTTGAGCAAATGTTTTTAACTCTTCCTTTGCAATTGTCTCCAAGGTTGTGCTACAATTATTAATCACTGTTCGAGTGGCAAATTTTTAATACGTAAATGTAATTTTATCATTGCAGGAGTCCAAAAATAGGAGTGCAGAAGCAACCATTAAACATACATTCATGGAGTACATGCTATGCACAGCAAGACAAAGTCCCCACCTGCCAGTCTTCTAAGACTTCTCTCAGGGGTTTGGAAACTCTCCAAATACCACGCCACCTCTGCCTCCCTCAGAGATTCAGGCGAGCCAAAGTGTGTAATTTGAAAACATGTCCTAGGAGATTATGATGTGTACTCTTGTCCAGGAGTAACAGAGCCAGCCCTGTGGAAACTCCACTTGACACACCCCCTACATTGCCTTTCTCCTGTCTGTCACTATCTCAGGCCTTGCTGTGAATCCTCATCCTAGCCATACAACTCTCCCCTTTGCCCTCTTTTTTTCTCACTCCATGTGCTCTAGCTATCATGACTTCAGCTTCCTTTTCACAGAGGACTCCAAAATCTGCACCTCAGCCTGGACCTAACTCCTCAGCTCTGGAATCTTTGGTCTACCTGCCTACCAGTCTCACAGCACTTCAAGTTTAACATGGCCCTCACAGAAAGAGCTGTGCCTCCTCCCCCAGCACTGCCACATGTGCACACATGCTTGCTCCTCCGCAGCCTCCTGCTCCCAGGCTGGAGTCTGGGTACCACAGGGAATCCCAGGGATCTTCTCACCCTTCCACAGCCTATCAACCTCTACATCTTGTTGTATCCTTCCCTTCACTGCTACCACTTAAGTTCACGTACATTATTATTTTTTGCCTGGGATATCCAGTGGATCCCAAACACCTGTCAGTGGATCTTCTAACCATCACTTATGATGCTTACTAATAATACAGATTACTTGGCTCCATCTCAGACCAACTTAAAATCAGAATCTCAGGGAAATAGGAATTTGCATTTCTAACAAGTTTTCTAGATGATTTTAATGAGCAGCCAGGTTTGAAATCACGGAGACCCAACTGTTCTTCCTGATCCCAATCATATCCTTTTTAGTCTGCTCTTCACACTATCACTAACCTATCTGATTTTATCATTTTACTGCTTAAAATTCTCCAAAGGCTCCCTATTGCCAACTTATAGGATAAAAATCCCATTTTCTTAGCATGGCCAACAATGCTTTCCTTCCTTATCTGCCCCATTCCTGCCTCTGCTGCCTAACAACTGCTACCTCCAAGTAATGCTGATACAGCTCCCCCACACTGTGCCATTCAGCATCTTCCTGCTCTTGCTTCCAGTGCCTGTCAGCCCTTCCTTATCTAACCTACATTTGCCAACTCATTGCCAGCTCAAGACTCACCTTACAGAGCCTTCTCTGATGTCACAGCTCTACTTATCCTGTCTGGTCACAACAGGCCAGGCTTACTTATGTAATCTCCTATTCCCAGGACACATGTATTTATTGGTGTGTGGATCTGCCTTCTTTCAGTAGGTTCTAAGCTGCTTGAGAGTAAATACTTAGCTTAGAACCTACCATTTGTAGATGCTCAACAAATGTTTATTGACTCATGGACTCTTGAGACAGCAAGCCAAGATCAAGACTACTTTCAGGTAGAAGTAATGTATCTGGCTTTAGATGGGTTTTTACTACTTGCTCGGAAGGCAATTTCAAAAGAGGGTTTTTGCAGTAAAGGTTCCAGGGAGTACTCTGTGCACAATTTTCATTTGGTAGGGAAGGGGAAAATAATTTGGCCATTTCCCATTATTTCAAAAGGCAACAGTTTAGCATGGTGCTGCATGCCTAAAATCCCATCATATAGGAAGTAGAGGCAGGAGGATCTTGAGTCTGAGGCCAGCCCAGGCAAAAAAAAAAAAACACAAAAATCCCTGAGGGTATGGCTCAAATGGTAGAGCACCTAATTATTGCTAACAAACAAAAAAGGCAAAATGACTTAGTTATAAATGTAAAACCAAACAAACAAAACCTCCAAGGAATAAAAATAAGACTACCTTTTCATAATGTAGATTAAGAATTTCAGAGCTGGGGAAGTCCTGTTCTATGTTTTCCGCAATGGTCTGTACTGCTAACAGCTGCTCGTCAATTTTCTGAAGCTTAGCAGTGAGATGCTGCATCCCGCAAGCTGCAGGGCTTGGTGTGGGGTGAGCTGCAGGAACATTCTGCAGCAGTATCTGCAGCAAAGGATCTTCCATAGAGTCTGACTTTGTGTTCTGCTCCTTGAACTGGAACCCTAGTTTTGGTGGATCTAAATGTTAATAAAAGTAAAATTAGTACTGATCATACTTAACAGGTAGACACTGATTAACTCATTTTAATCCACCCATAACATTACTTTCCAAATCAGTTTTAATATGCTCAGAAATTCCATTTCAGCTTCTAGATTTCTGAAATTTGTCTTTGTTGTGATATAAGGACCCATAACATTAGTATCACAAAACTCTACACACATAGCAGTCTGAATGTTACCTTAATCCCCTGCTACAAACTAGTATTTCATCAAAAAGCAGCTCTAATATATTTATGACTTTTTGAAACTCTACTTGAAAACCAACACCACCACACAGTAACAGCTAGGTACATTTGCTATTGCCAATTCCACATGGGAACTCAGGCAAACATTAAATTCCCAAGACCAATTCACCACCTCTCCTCCAACTTGCTGCCTCTTCCCTGTTCCTCAGCTCAATGAACAGCACATCCCAAGCCAGAGGCCTGAGAGTCACTCAAGGTTCCTCTCTTTCCTTCAGATTCAAAGTGATGCCAAGTATTGCTGATTCTCCTTCCTACCCACCTTTTATTCCTACCACCACGGCCTAAGTGGAACTTTCACAATAGATGGACCTCCAACAGAACACCATTTCTCTTTGATATAGTTCATTTTCAGTGCCCTAGAAGATCTATTAAAACACAAATTTGATATTGTTCCTAATCTTCCCAAAACCTTTCTATGTCTCCAGTGCCTTCACCTTAAAAGTATAAATGCCTCAATATCACAATGACACAGTCTTTCCTTTGCCAACCTCTAGAGTTTTATCACTATTTCTTTAAATGAACACTCCATTTGACTAATTTTCTCAAATTCAGGAAGCTTCTGTGTTACCACACAATGAATTCTCCCAGTCTAAATGCCCTTTCTCTCTTTAATCCTATTTTGCTTTAACATCTCACTTAGGTAGGTCTCCCCTAAATGGCCCCAATTCTGTCCTGGGGTAGATTAGGTACTATATTATTCAAGACTCTCACCATACCACCCTCATGACACTTACCAAGCTGTATCACAACCATCCCTTTATCCATCTTCCTTCTCCCATAGGTATTGCCCATATACTAACAGTCTGGTATTCTCCTTTTTAGTCCCAACATCTAGTTCCTAACTTGGTTTTCATAGAATGAAGAGTAGGTCAAATGATTGTGATGCCTGCCTTAGCTAACTCATAGAGGTTCTGTGATGATCAGTTATGTGACAAGGTGCTCTGAAAAGTATAAATTACTAAACAAGTATGAGCAGCACTTGGTATGCATTTTTCAGTCCCAATCTAAGGTGAAGCTTCCCATGGAGAAGATGGTGGTAATGGCAATGCTGGCCATGGCAGTGATGTAATCTTGCCCTCTGTTTTAGCTTGATTCTCAGTTTCTCAGCAACCTGAAGTGTCTCCCTCAATCACTCTCAGAAAAGATCTTCTGCACATGGACTTCAAGTAAAAAATACAGCAAAAGAAATGGACATGTTTGGGCTGGGATGTAGCTTGGTGGTACAGCGCTTGCCTAGCATGCATGAGGCCCTGGGTTCAATCCCAGCACCAAAAAAGAAAAACAAAAAAAAAAAAAAAAGAAAGAAATGGACATGTTCAAAATCCAGAATGGTTTCCACCTATATTCAAAGACTTTCTGAGAAAGCTGCTCCTTTCTGGAGAAGCTGTCTACCTCATTCAGAAGAAATTGCCCAGAAGGGCTGAACATGTGCTGCTTGAGCCTGAGGTACTCTTCCTAGACCCAGCACACTGTCCCTATGGGAAATGTTTTTTAAAATAAGAGGCTACTGTTATCCAAAGTAGTGAGAGGTCTCACTAAAACAGGTA